TACAGCAAATGTTGGAAATTCAAAGTTTAGAGTTAAGAAAGAAAAGCACAACTGGGGGTGTTACAAATATAAAGAAACAGAAGCTGTGAAAAAAAAGATCCAGATTTATTCTTCTAATACAAAGATAACCAATTAAAAATCAGCGGGGTCCGAATAAAGAAAATCATCAACCAGTAAAGGTTCCCACTGATTTTTAATTGGTTACCCCTGGTATAGACCTTCGAACTCAACGCTATTTCAGACATTTTGAATTGAAGCGAAACGTCTTCAAACTTGGAAAAAAGTCCAGTGGATTGTTTTGAACTTTTTTGGAATGAAAATGACCTGGATGGAGCAGAATTTCCCCAAAAATACGCTTCAAACTTACGTTAACCTCAGTTTTCAGCGGATCTTGCTCCATATGTGACCTTGAAACACCCTCTTGTTGTTGTGAGGTCTGATTTTCATTACCCTGCGCCTGCACATCCACCTGCAGTCCAGAGAGAAAAGGGTTGGTTAGAAAACCTAGATCACGTTTGCAGATCCGACACACCCCGTTGTGTAAAATTGCCTGATTCTGGCAGGGATTTGAAGCTCTGAGCTCCTTCGACGAGTTATTAAACTGTGGGAATACCCTGCAGCCTTTGGGAAAAAAAATATTCACCATATCCCAGAGACAGAGTTCACTGATAGAGCCTGCTGCTTTAAGAGAATGTGATTTAATGATGAGAGGAGAGAGATGGTGACACAAATGAGGCTTCTTCTGACATCTGTGCTAAATGTTAGCTGACCCGGCAATGGAGCCTTCATGAAATTAAGTCAACACACAACAGAAAATATAATTACTATCACTGATTATCTGAGATATGTGAGGACCAAGGCAATAAAAAGCAAATGTCTTTTGAGCACAAGTCATGATGGCCCCTGCGTTCATGCACTGACACAAAAGATGACCTTGGACGAACGCCCAGGTTTTCAATCTGCAACAGACAGAAGAAAGTGTTGTTCCAGAATGTTCTCCTCACAAAAGGTTTGAGAAGGCCTGAGAGGAAGTGATTCATCCCGACTTGTTAGAACAAATGTGCTGAATGAATGCATTCCCTTATAATGATGATAACTAGGAATGTCAAGTGTGAACATAGAGAAAAAGATGGAGTAAAAAAAAAAGCAAGATTTCAACATTACAAACAACTATATAGCAACCTACGGTCATTCTGTTTAGCTATTTGAAATTAGAGGCCTTATTTTTTGGCAACTACGGATCAGCCTTTCAACAAGAAGTTCAGATGAACGTTTTGTGAGGTCTCATAAAGTTTTAATCACAGAGGAACTACTGGATAATCCAAGATCTCTGGATCCAGTCAGGCTCTTTATATGTTCTGTTCTCAGGATGTTTCATTTAAATCGATTCAATTCAATTTATATAGTGCCAATTCACACCACCTCATGTCAAGGAAATTTAACCAAATCATACAGGCAAACGGATTCAAAGTTTTCTTCAGGAAGAGTTTTTGTTTATCTGTGTGTGGAGTAAATGTCTGGAATGTACGACATTGTGATGTGATGACATGGTCAAAAAAAATGTTTAATTGTGGACACGAAGTAGTATTTCGCGGCCACGCAATAAGTATAACGTGCGCACGAAATACTACTTCGTGGCCACGCAATAAGTTTATCGTGCGCACGAAATACTACTTCGTGGCCACGCAATAAGTTTATCGTGCGCACGAAATACTTATTAATAATATCAATAAATCCGCCCCTGTTTTCAGGCTTATGTTAACTGTAATGATTTATCTTGGACAGGCTGCTATGTAAACGGGCCTTTAGTCCTTCGTTTAGCTATGCTGCGGTTGTTTAAATGGTAAATGGCATGTACTTATATAGCGCCTTTATTCA